AGGAGGTCCCACTGATTGGCGTTTTGTCATGTTCAAACCACAAATCTGATTACTGAGGTGGCTCCAGCTCTGCCTAAAACACATGTGAAGAGCTGCGGTCCTGCTGCCTCCTGTCTGCGCTGTCATTCGTGTTTTATCTCCTCTTTCTGTAGCTCCCCGTTCCACTCATGCTGACTTCTCTTCGCGTTTTCTTGTTTCCTTGTAAAATTTGACAAGGCTGCGCCTTATCACCGTTGTTCCTTTCCCTCCTCTAGAAAGCAGCAGCAGCCACTGTCATTCATCCTGAATAAGGAAAGCTGATGTGCTCAGAGCTTTCTGTAATAATTCAAAGCTATCGCCTTGGTGGCTTTTGATCATTTGGCGAAAGCCACTCTTTGAATAAAATGCAGTGTACAGCATTATTTTCCTTTTTTGTTTTTTGGAGGTCTGGGGATGGAAGCTGTGTTTCAGGCCCTGGCTGTCGAGTGTCCTCCCACTCTGGACAGTGACCAGCCTAGAGAGGACTTTCAAGCAGGTGACACCTGACAGGTATCTGTGACAAACTGTGGGTGATGTTAGGGCAGTAGCCACCGTCTTTTTTCCGGTTCTTAGTTGGTTTTGGAAAGGTTATTACATCAAGCTTTCACCAAGATGAAGATCTACAGAACTGTTTCATGTCAGTTTTTGTTGTGTGATAGCAAAATGCAGAAGAGTCCTGAAAAGCAAAAAGCTCGACTTAATTTTTTTTAATTTTCTATGTTAGCTTTTCAAAACTGAAAGGTATTTTAAGAGACTCTGAGGTTGTGCATTAAGAGGCAACAATGAGAAAATGCAGCACTGAATCCAGCAATTACTGCCATAAGCACCATAACCAAACCAGTGCTCTTCCAATATGCAAAAATAATTGAGGTGGCAAGGCAAGAGAGGATTTTTTTTAGAGTGTATTGATTTTAATTTTGCAGAAGGTATGTAAAGCCACCAACAATTCAAAAAGAAAATTCATCTGTACCATTTCAGAGACTCAGTGCTGTTTAGTTTGAAGAATCTTTGTAGATTTTGCCATGCAAAGTACTTTTCTCAGTATGTTCTGGAGGCATAGAAAAGAACAAAAAGATAAAACATGCGAGATGCTGAACACTGCACCTTGGCCGTGTCTGCTCAGGGGCTTCAAGGAAGGGAAATGATGAAGGTGCTGTGTCTGTCCTCCCAAGAGATCATGGTCTAAGCCTCCGCCAAGCGAAGCTGTGCCTCTCTCCCTTCCCTCTTGCTAAAAGCCAGGGAAAGCTGATCAGGTAAGCATCTGTGTGGTCCTTTTTCGTAGCGTGCCCGCCGTGAGGCTCGCTGTGTGCTTGCTTATTTGTCCAGATCTGCTTTGACTAATGGACGATGTGTAAAGTTGGTTGAAGGATTGTTGCCATTAGCTTTAGCCTCGTTTTTACCTACTAAACCTCACAGGTATGAGACAAGTTACAGAAGCTCCATTGGTTTTCCTTATTAATGATTCTGTTGTCTTGCAGTTGTTATTTACGTGTTTAGCCTGCGATGGTTCTTTTCAGCATCCAGTCAGAGCTTTATCGCTTGCTTTTCAGACAAGCTAAGACTTTGAGGAAGCTTTTGGGGTTCGGAGGGCTGTTGATCAGTTGCTTAATGGAACAGCAGTGAGCTGTCATAATCTAGATTTTCATCAGAGTGGCATCTGATAATATGTCATGTACCATTTAGTGGTTAGCTGGGAGTTAAGGAGCTGTTTGCAGATCTGTCCATTCCCTGTGAACCTACAGCTGTGGTCTGTTACCAGAGTCCTTAATTGCACACATCTGCACAATGGTGCTGTAGTTCAATCTCCATATTTACAGGTGTTACTGCTTGGATCCAGCTTCCCAGATTATTCCAGTTTTGTATGTCCGTGGTGCAGGGTTTGTGTTTTCAAATTATGGGAAAGCCAGACTGTTTCCCAGGGTCTTGCTTCATCGCCTTCCAAAAACGCTTGCTTTGAAAAAATCCCTGACTTGTAGTTAATCAAAGTCTCTCTCAAAGGCTTTTACCCTCTTTTCAGAAATTCAAATGCTGTTTTCTCGTGGCCTTGCAAGAGATTTTCTGGCTGCTCTTTATATTAAGATTAGCGTTGTGCTTTAGAGCTAGGGGTATTGCATTTGTGATTCCTGTTTTGGAAGCAAGCCAAATCTTGTCTTGTATGCAGCTCTAAAGGCAATACTGACTCTTGCTTACTCGATCCCTTTCTGTCAGAGGCTGGAGATTGCATCTCTTCTGATCATGGGGACATCTTCATACCTTACACCTTTCTAGATACCTTTTTTTAAAGAATGCAGCACTAATTTCAGTTGTGCGTGCATGTCTTGGACAGTGGAGGTGATAATTAAATGGCGAGGTTTGAAATCAGGTTAGTAATCAGGCAGAGAAATTGGCATGAAGGAACGGTGGAAGTTAACAACGTTATTTGTGCGAGCGTACCGCGCAGCGAACAGCTGAGGACCTGACCTGAATTGTGTGCTGGTGCCTCCAAAGCATTTGGGGTTTTGGGGGGTTTTTTTTCTGGTTTTGATCCACGAGCAAACAAGATTACACATCGGCTTTTTCTGTAGTAATAAACTAAACATTGCTGTAGATACGGGATATTTGTAAGATGTCCTTAGTTGCAGCTGTTGTGAACATCCAGAATCTGAAAGTGAAGTTGGCATGATGCTTCTCTGAGGCGGTGTTTGTGCCGCTTGCTTTATGAGGAATCAAAATCCCTCAGTTGCTTTACAGCATGTTTTTATAGCTGATACTGCCATGTAATAGTTCATTATCACCATTTGAAATCTCTTGGCCCTTCATATGCCTTGGGTTGCTCCTTGATGTGAAGTTGCGAAGGAGTTATGTGAACATAATGTTTGTAAAATGCTTTGAAGATTAAAAGCTCTACAGTAGGTTTTTATTATTACCAGAGGCAAAGTGAGCAGGAGTGGCTTAATGTTGGACTGTTCATTTCCCAAGAGATGGCTTTGTTTTGAAGAGTGTGCATTATCGATTGGGTTGGAGACAAAATTGTCTTATTTCAATCCCGAATAGAAATAAATTGGCAAACTTGAGATTATTTGCATGAGATATCTGTAAAAGAGCAGAGCAGTTATGATACTATCTATGGCTCTGTTCTTAGTTTAGTGGAACACTTATTTAATATGTTTGACATCTACTGTTGAAAGGTATTTTGAATCCAATGCATTCAAACATCTTTATATATATAGCAGCATTCTTATATCCATATGATATATAGATAGGTATGAGATGTTTATTTGAGAAAGATATATATTTGAGATATTTATTGCTCTTTTAGAGATTAAGTCAGTTTCAGCATGTGAATAAAAAAGCGGTCCACATTCAGAAATGGTGATGTTTTATTAGAGTTTGGTTCATGGACAGTTTTTCACATGTTCGACCTGCCACATAAAAAAGAACTGGGTTGGTGGTTTTTTTTTAATAGTGCTTTAAATATTTTTTTAATCATTTTTATTTCCAGCCTGTATCCACATTGTAAACTCATAGGTGACAAAAAATAAACCAAAGTGAGCTGTCTCGCAGTTCTCAAGCCGCTGCTCTTTCCATGTGAGTTAGAGGAGACGGGAGGGAGCTGCACCGCTCAAATGGAAATTCAGCGCTAAGCGGGGGACCGCTTCAGGGACACAGGTGTCCTCACGTGGCTCGTCGTCCCCCTTGCCCTTGCAGCGGGTCACCGCTTCCACCCAGCAGTCTTGTTTTGACAGAGCCGTTTTGTGGTGTCAGCACCGGGCGCCTTTGGGGAGCTGGAGCTGAAGCGGCCATTGTGGGCGGAGGGGACAGCTAGGCCGTGGCCAGGCCTGAGGCACCACCGCGTCCCTGCGGCCTGGAGGAGGCCGCCTCGCTTGGTGCAGCTGCAAACAAGCTTCGGGCTCCTGCTTGGCACTTGCAGAAATGGTCATGGAATTTGCTGATGCTGCCAGACGCCAGCTAAACACTTGTTCCCAAGTGGAGCGTCCTATCGGTACAGCTGCTGGTTATGAAAAATACGCACAGGGCTTTCATCCGTAATAATAATAGAGCTTTGTCGGAGTATTGCAAGCTCAAAATATTCTGAGTAATGCTATCAAATAGTACCTCCTCGCTTAGCCTATAGGGAGCTTTATTCCCCCATGCTTCAGTTAAGATGTTCATTTATTGTCATCACTTATGTCAGAGGTGGGGAGGGAGGGAGGCTAAATTTTCCCTCTGTACTGTCAGTAAGGATTAACTGACATTGTTGGGCAGTGCTTTCAAAATATTCTGACCTATTTACACAACAAAACTGATCAGAGCAAAATAAACAGTTCTGGTCGGCGGCTGAATGCTGTATTGTGGCAGCTATATTTGGCAGTGGATTTTCTCATCAGTTTTCCAATGCAGACAAAACCTGAATGCTACAGAAATCTTAAGCATTACAAGCAGATAATGCCCTGGCTGAAAAGCTTGATTCTTCTGTTGCCTATTGGGGAAAGAGGACAATTTGGCTGTAATTCAGTTGGAACAAATGCTTATGAAGCAACAGACAACAAACCATAGGAGTAGATTTCTCATTTTGCCATGCAGGGTGATTAATAATTGCATCATTTCCAGCAAGCTGCAGTATATACCTGCGAGATGGTGGATCTCTCTCCAAGGTGCAGTCTCTGCAAAGAAGCATTAAATAGGGAATTGCAATGTACTGTAAGAATTGCTGGTTTCCTACTCGGGTTTTGGTTTTTTTTTATTTTGTAACAAACATAGTGGATACTTGCAATTACCTCTTCATTTCTATGTGGTATCTCCTAAGGAGTGGATACAGAGAAATGTTTCATTTTAGCTGTTTGGACAACTATTCCATATTCCTGGGTCACAGAATTTTTTATAGTTTAGAGAATAAAATTGCTTGACACTCAATATAGGAAACACTTCTTGCATCTTCAACTTAGATTCTGAGAATACTAAAATGAAGCCTTTTAAAACTTTTTTTTCTTCTCAATTTCATTTAGTGACAGTCCCAATGCTATCCATGAAGTGGAAAAGTGGTTACCACGGCTGCATTCGGTTGTCATAGGACCTGGCTTAGGTAGAGATGAAGTTCTACTTGAGAACGCTAAGGTAATGTCTATACTGATATTTTATTCTGTGTCTTTATGTTGAGTTTTATTCACCAATTTCCTCTCTTTTACATGATTACACAAATGTTTTTGCTAGGGTTACTAAATAACAGATTTAATAAACTATTGTTGACTGAATATTACAGCTCTTAGTCATGGTCTTCATTGTTAAACTGTAAGCATTGCTCAGAATTTTAGGCACCCACATGGTTGTTTTGATTTGCTTTTGTTTTGATTGTGGAAGTCGGTAATTAAGAAATAGACATTGGCACCTCTAGGTAAAGGGATCTGCGTTTTCTTAGGTGCAAAGCACCTGTACTGTGATAAATCCGAGTTCAAGTTCCTAATTTTCGGAACCATGTTTGACAATTTGCATCAGGAGAGGTTCCAAAGAACAAGGATTGTGTCCCCTTGCAATAAAGAATAATACTCTTATTTATAAAATGTTGCAGATTTCTCCTCTGGATAAAGAGGTAATCCTATTTTCTGTCAAGCCTCGGCAGAGAGCTGAAAACATGAGCTTAGATAGTTCTGTACTCTAAATAATAAGTACTTGACACCATCTTCCAAATGATGGCTTGTATTACTGTCAACACATCTTTGTACATTCAAAGCGTATCTTTTGGTCTAATGTCAATCTAGTTTGTACAATTTTAGAATGTTTTTCTTCCTGAGAAGTAGTACTGAATTAATCAGTGGTACCAGCAAGTGGAATTAACGTAGTTTACAGAAATGTTGACAGTTACACAGTGAAACTGCAAAACTGAGAAGGGCAGGAGACTGGAGACCACGATGTTCAAGTAATTTAGAATACCTTGAGAGCTATAGAGGGTGGTTGTGCTGGGCTTTTATTAGAGAGAGTTGTTATTGGAGCGCTTTGCTTCTTTAATTCTCCTGCTTCTAAAAAATTTTTGGTTTTTAATATAGAGGTACAAATCTAATAAAGAACATGGATTTGGAAAGAAAGAAAAGATACTTTTATTACAGCTGATCAAGAAATTGGATTCTATTCTGAATGAATAATTTCAACAGAGTTTTTACTCTTTTTGGAAAACATTTTTTTCAGAATTCTTTTTATAGAAAAAAATTTTGCACAATGATTTTTCTTTTTTCCTTGGTTTTTAAAAATATTAAGGTTGTTTTTCCTGAGGGAAAACTACTTTGAATAAAAGAAAACAGGAATTCATTTAGAATATCTAAGATACCTAACATAAGCTGCTTTTATATCAGAATTCCATCTGGGTTTTATAAAAATCTGTCAAGGTGCTTATCTGTATTACAGGAGTATCTGGAAGAGTCCTTGATTGTATTTTTTTCCCATCATTGCTAACAATAATAGTGCTTTCTTAGTGAATTACAAGCATACTTTTACTTCAGCCTGGCTGTCCTGTGTGAGCTGGCTTAAAGTTAAAGAAACAAACCCAGCCAGTGGAGACAGCACGTTTGGAAGTTACTTCACGCTGAAAGCTCAGCCCACGTTCACGTGAGGTGTGGATCTGACCTTACTAATTGCGAGTCACAATAAAGCTCAAGTTCTTTGGCTTCGCTGTAATTTTTTAAATTTTCATTAGTTACCCAGTGTTGGGTTGTTTTTTTTAATCCAGCTACCATAATCTTCTAATTCTTTGTTCAGCCAAAAGCTTTATTAAGGACATGTTATTGGGGACAAGTGAACCCTGGTTGCCTGCTTGAGGAAGAGTGGTGTTTCTCTGTGCTGAAGAAAGGCTGAGTCTCCCTCATGCTTCAGCAGTCAATTTTAAGCTTTCTATCACTTCTTACCTTCAAGAAATAATGCAGGTGACGATAGCATTGCTATTTTAAACTCTTATAGGAGGCTGGCTTGGTATATAATTTTCTATTTTTCCTTTAAGCTGACCTCAGCATGCTGTGACACGAATGCAGGGCTGAGACGTAGATCAGTGTCTGCTTTCTGGTCAGGGTTTTGTATCGGAGTGGCAGTGAGGATGGGAGAAAGCTTCCCCTCTTCCTCCTCCTGCCCTATTAAAGTGCAGAGGCACAGTGGTCTGTCACCTCTCTGATGCTGTTGTTATGGTGGTTCGTGTCAGCATTGTGCCTGCACATTGCCAGTGATTGTGCATGCCCAAACACTCGTGTGTTAGGGCTGCTTCTCTTTTCTGAGCATTAAGAAACTGAGATACTAATGCAGTAAGCTTTTCCTTTCAACAATCTGATGGAAAAGCAGCGCCTTGTGATCAGTTTCCTTTGATTTATTTTTTTTCCCTCAAAAACATAGCGATACTCTTTAAATACATCCCAATGGTGATTGTCTGGTTTGGGTTGGAATTCCATTTATGAGTCCTCATACAAGAAGCCACTCTACAAGTTACATCCCTCTCTCATATACTGCTTGTGTGGGTCTGTGCCAAAACCCTCACCTGCTATTGCTCAATTGCCTGGTTGAGGGCTGATGCTCTGTCAGAGCTTCCTAGCCATGGGTTTGCAGGACGAGGAGCTGCAACTTCAGAAAAATCTCCTAAAGGAAGCATTTGGTGTTATCCTAATAGCTGTGCAGCTGGATCCCATGCAGATGTGGCAATCACAGTCTTGACCTGGTTAGACCCTCCAACTCCGGAGCAGAAAAGCAGTCTGAGCTATTTCTTGTCAAAAGAAAGGAATAAAAACATGTTTTTGCTCCTCAGCTCTGGAGTGTGCAGATTGAAACATCTCCGCTCCCTATTCTACTTCAGGCTTCTGAAATGCTGTTAGCACATCTGGTGTGGAGCTTGGCCACCACAGCCAGCTTCATTTCAGGCGGTATCAGGCAATCTGCTTTTCCCTTTCAGTGTCTGTGACTGATTCTGGCCAGAGGTGACAGTACCATTCCCAAGTTCACCTCAGTTGCTGTGCTGCTGCTGGGGGTTCAGACTCTGTTGAGAAAGAGTTCAGCTGCCGTGTGGAAGCAAGGCCAAAGGCCCTACAACTGTCCTCTGTCAGTGCTTAGAAGCAGCATGTTTCCAAAGCTCTTGGATGTTCTCTTTTTTCACACAGCACCAATATTATTGTCCCTGTTGTATCTACCCACCACAGCGTTCTTCATTCAGCTGTTCCGGAGACGTCAGCACTCCTGGTCTTACTCTGATCTGATTTTTCTTGTAGCCTGAGGCTTGAAAGTAGGGGAACTCCTGCCTGTGTCCTGTATCAGGTTCCAGCCTCTTCTCATCTCCTTTCTCCTCCTACTCCTTTCTGGCATGAATGTGATGCTCCTGACAAATTTTATGCTTCCAAGTTCAGTGAATCTTTTACTTGGTTCATTACTGGTTTTGTGGTCAAACAGGCTGAGACAGAATTGTTGGTGCAATAGTAGTTACTGTTGGGATCAGGTAGAGAAAAGCATTCATCCTTATGAAGGCCCCCATCCTTAACTGAAGTATGACTTTGAGACTGGCATCGTCACTGGGTTTTTTGCCTCCCTCCCTGAGGTGGTGACACTGAATCCTGGACTCTACCGCTCCAGTCTTGCTGTGGTTTGTTTTTTGCAGCAGCAAAGTTACATTGCTGTTTTCAGCAGCGCACGCTTGCTTCCCTCCCGTAAGGGAGGTAGTGATTAATAGCAAGAATGGCTCTGTGTAACTCAGATTACATGGTAAAATCGACTGATTCTCAAACTGTATACTTGTTCCTCTTGCTCAATTCTCAGTCTTTGTATTAGCTCCAAGAAAATGTCTTGAATAGGCGCCTGGGTTCTTCTTTTCGCTGAGGCCCTGCCTAGCTGCCATTTCTGCCCATTGCTGTTTCTCTTCCCCCAGCCCCCTCACCCTGCAGTGCTACCCTCAGGCAGTCATTTGCCCTTAAAGGTCTCTGCTGTTTGGTGGGATATAAATTTCGGAAATCTCCTTTTTCCACCCCAGTGACATCATCTTAAGGTTGTATAGAAATGTCTTGGCTATAATTAACAACTAGCAAAGGATGGGAGAGGTTTGGGCTGTTGTCATGGTTCACCTTGTTTGAGTGTGCCCAGAGAGAGCCTATTTGAAATTCTCTCAGGTGGATTCTCAGTTCCGCCTCAGCTGAGGTATCAGCCTTTCTGTGTTTGTTTTTGGGTTAATTTCCCCCTTTCAAGCCTTCAGGATCTAGGCAACACTTCAGAGCCTTAATAAATTGTGGGAATGGGACCAGGTGCTTCAGTGCACTTATCTGCACTAGCTTTTGCAAGATCAAGAGGACTCCAGAATACAGAGCCACCTTTTGTTGTCATAGCAGGCTATTAAAGCTAAATCTGCCGCTATGGGCCTTGAGAAGCCTTCTCCTCATGATATCTGAGCAGCCCCCTGGGTTCTGTTTGTACCAGACATAAGACACCTGAGAAGCATCGCAGGCTAATGCTCCACTTGACAGATGAGTGGTATTGTGTGTGGTACCTACCACCAGGTACGTATGTGGGCAACAGGAGGTGTTACTCTTTGGAACCACTGCTCATGTTTACTCAAGTTAGCAGAATTATTTATTTACTAAAAAGTGAATTCTTCAGTGTGTGTCACACGCATTTGCTCCTTGCCCTGTTGGTACCCTCTGGAAAGTCCTCTGGAGGTTCTTGCTGCAGGGATTCAGCAGCTCACAAGGAGCTGAAGTAGCAGCGAGGACACGCCACTTTCAGCCCTCGGCTGGGAGGAGGTGAGGTGGATGGGATCTTGTGCCCGTGGTACTGCAGAGACAAAAACCAGAGAGCATGGATGTGCACCTGCTGTGAGAGTGTGTCTAAAGTGTATTTCTCTCAGGCCCCAGTACCTATGTACATACCACAAGCAGTACCCAGTGAAAAACTACTCTTACTAGCTAAGCCTTCTTGCTTTCAAACAGCCTGGTGAGAGAATTTGTGGATGTATTTCACCTAAGATGGGGCAGTTGCTGGGATGGGATGCAGTTCTTTCTCTGGGATGGTGGCACGGGTGCGGATAAAGATTGGGAATGGCAGCTCGAGGCAGACCGATCCTCTTGGTTGTGCTAAGAGCTCTTGCTGCTTGTGCTAAAAACTATTAGTAT